ATAACCTTTGCGGTATCCAGCTGAGGCCTTTCTGGGATTGGGATGAACGCTTCAGTGGCGGGATCCAGACTTGGCAGTATCCAGTCTAGGTGATTCATTTGGGAGTGGTGGCTTCTGATTGCAATGCTAGCGCTGCTCAGTTTGACAGCTTTGGTTACCGCTTAAATGCAGCAACGCTCCATGGTGCTTTGTTGCTCCCTGATCCGATGTTCCACCCCGAAACCTGCGATAAATAAGAACTGGAGGCTACATTTTCTAGGCTTGCGAGATTAGGCTTATTAGCTTATGTATACCAATATTGGAGCCCCCTACCCGTGAAGTTAAATATGTCGTCAAAGGTTTACTTTCTAGCGGAAATATTTGATACTAGGGCTGAGGGATGCGAGGAAAAACAAGTATGAGGGCATGATCTAGGTATCTGCGAGACTCCTTCCTTGAATCAAGCGGCCGGCGAGTCTTTTACCCACCTAAACCCTAAATCCTAAACCGCCCCCAGCAGAGACTTTTCAGGTTGGATGCTAAAACTTACCGGTTCTTAGAAGAAATGAAGCGAATATAATATCTCTGGAGGAAAGAGCAATATTTTCCGTTATTCCTTCCTAAGAACCGATAACAAAGGGGATCTCATTTGGGTTGAATCTGATTAAGAAGACACTTGCAGCGTGCCTGCCAAATCTCAGAGACTGCTGGAGAAGCCAGGCGAAACTCATGGAGAAGCCACACAGAATTCCACTCATTTTGCGGGCGTTCATTTGAGGGTGTTGTAAATATGCCTCTGGCAACAACCCTCCCTTGCCCCTGCGGAGACGTGTGCTCGGGCTCTTGGTCTTGATTTCTTTTTTCCTTGATGTGGTACCGATTCCTCCCTGGCAGGATCGAACTTTCCCTGATGTGAGACACTGCATGCCATGCCCGGACAATGGCCCAAGGAACTTTTTGACCAAGACTGAAGTCACTTCGTCATCTAATTTCAGAATCTTCAGATGTGAGCCCCAAGAGACCTTAGAGCAAATCCTGAATTAGCATCCTTCCTCGGATTTTTCATGGTTTTGCGTACAATTGTTGGCAAGAGAAGGGCAGGACAGAAGGCGCTCTCCAGTTTGGCGACGCCCCGAAGCTTCTCCAGGCTGTGCCGTGCTTTCAAAGATCAAATCCCCCCCTAAAGGTTTATGGTTTAGGGGACGAAACAACGCCTTGGATCTGTAAAGTCCCATCAGGGTAAGAGCTCCTACACCTGTCGGCCTACACCCTAACCCAAAGGCAAAGAAACAAGCCTAAGAGTCTACTTGGAGGGTCAGGGGGACTTTGCACGTAGGTTAATCTCCCTTGTACCCCATATAGTAGCCCTAGGTTTCCCCATTATTAACCTACTTACTAAGTCGAGGTGACCCTCCAAGTAGATCTCCACAGCTGAAATTCCTCACAAACGCATGCTTAACCCTAAACCCTAAACTC